GTTTTTTTACGCCCCGGCCCCCACCTTCCTGTTTATGGCGCTGCGCGGCGGTGATCCATCAGTCAGGAGAACGACTAGGCGCCCCCGATCAGGGCGCGGATCAAGGGCCCAATTGGCCGTTAGGCCAACCGGTGGAGATCAATCTAACAGACGGTTGGTGCTGCATCCTCTGCTCATTTTGCTTGTTCTGTATTATTTTCTTGTGTGCTTATATTATTTTCTCTCCCCCCCTACATTTTGCTTTATTGTCATTTTAGATTCAAGTGTGTGATGCATCCAATAATGTCGCTGTGGGATGGTTGGAGCAACATTTTATGGATCCAAGATTTACTCTTGTCAACGTACAGCAACCCCTATTTGCACGGTACACCTTAACAACGAGGTGGAAGTTCTACCTGGCAGTAACCTACTAGGCATAGAGCTTACGGTGAACTCTGGAGGACCAACCCTCATAAGAGGGACCCTGCAGACTGAAGATTCAAGTGCTTCTGAAGATGGCACAGAGCTTTCAGCCTCCACTTGTAACATCTCGAAGGTTAGCACATTGTTGGTATATCTCTTATATTAGTTCTCTGATGAATGCATGGTTCTGTTAAGAATAAATGACTGCATCATGCAGGATATGAATTGTTATTCTATTGTTATATGCACTGAAATTTATCTTAATTTGGGTTGTAAAAAATGGCATCCCCCTGTGTAACTCCAGTCCTATTCTGTGCCACTTTATTTTGTTCTGGTGTAACCCTTGTTGCCTGTCACGTTATTTTACACTAGGCTGGTGATGGCGGGCCACTCTTTGATGATAATGGGAACTTTGTTGGCACGAACCTTTTTCTGCATACTAAAAGGGGCGCTTTCATGCAACGGAATATCATTATTGAAAAACTGGAGAAGTTTGAGAAAATAATTGAATGGCTCACAAGCAAGAGGTAAGTATGTCTGTATGTCCAGAATATGTCAGCCATATCTTTCCCAGCGTGCTTGTCTTTCACTGGTTCATCTGGTCGTTATTTGTTAGCCATGGGAGGATGAGGCCCAAGCATTAGCTGTTTGTTCCTTTTGTAGCTTCTTTTTTAGTCATTTTTTTCCTTTGAACTTTTTGAAGTTGTGGATGTTTCTCCCCATTAACTACATGATTGATTTTGTTTTTAAACCAATATAGTTACACCCTTAGCCTGTCTTGTTTGCTCTACACTATGATTTAATTATTTTAACGTTGAACCTAGCAGGCATGCCTAATTGAAACAAAGGAAATTTTCTATTCCGATCAAAATACTAAAGGGTGAACTTAATTTTATAACATCTCCCAAATCTTGGCATTATCCTTATCTTGATTGTAAGTCTTTTCATAGGTGTTCTACAGATCCATGCTTTGGTTTGGTCCATGTTACTTTTGGTCTTTTGTTGATTCTATTTAGTATAATAATGGGTTCACTATGTTCAGCCGCAGGAATATAGAAGCACGTAAACGTAGAGAAATGCAAAGATACATTATGTCCCGTACAAAAGGTGAGCACGTAGACACCACTTAAGGGCTAAGGCTACTAAGTATAGCACTTGTATGCAAATTCATAATTGTTTCAAAGGAAAACGTATTTGCAAGTTAAAACTGTTGCAGGTTTAGTTTTTTCCTGTCGCTCAACGAATAATTTAATCTTACTGCTTCATGTTCATGATATTCAGCCTGAGTGACAACTACTAATCCTTGTATGCAGAGTTTTCTATGAGTGCCATTTATCATGATTATTGTATTAGTGATAGCTTATGATCTGTGGTAATCACTTGAACTTGTTGCACCAGATTTTGCCATTACTAATCGGGATCTGTTGGCGGAGGATCTAGACTCATTGGGTTATCCCAAACCATTAACAACTGCGATTGATTGTAAGTGTTTTTTTATTATTTTACTGATCTCTTCAGGGTAGCATTTATGTTTTAGGCTGGCAATAACAGAGGGCATGGTTTGTATATGTTTAACCAGGTGGCTTGGTTTTGGTTAATAGTTTTGAAGAAATTTTTGGTGACACGTATGATTCTGGCAAAGGTGTTTGGGGTGTACTCAAGGAAACAATTTCAAAATATTTATCTCAAAGTATTGTCTCCCTTGCTTCATACAATGGTGATTTATAGTAGAATGCTCGTAACTTCTCCATATTTGTAACTTGTCAAGATTTGTATTTGGTCATGATTAACTATTAATGGTCGAAAATCATGTTATGCAGGAGAGACGAGGTATTTTGCTTGTTCAGGCATAATTATAGAATGGAATGGACGCGCTGCTATTCTCACTTCAGCAAGCTTGGTTAGAGATCCTCGTGATGAATTCAAGATCTGGGACAACCTGAAGGTTGGTGCCCTTAACCATGCTGTACTCTTTGTCCCTTTAAGGTTCTTGCTTAAGTTTCTCGCTGTCATTTGCAGATTGACGTGTTGCTTCCAGACAAACAGCACACTGACGGAACATTACAACATTGCCACACTGAAGGAACATTACAACATTGCCACTTACACTACAATGTTGCTATTGTCAGTTTCAACAGTGACCATGCTTTTCCTACAATGAGTATTTCTGATGATAGGTCATCAGATGTTTCTGGCAAAGCAGTAGCGGTTGGACGTTGCTTTGAATCAGGCATGTTAATGGCCACAAAAGGGCTACTGAATCAGGGGCACCGCCATAGCTTGCTTGATTGCAATGTTCTCTGGTACTCCAGTTGTGAAATCACCAAGGTTCGTTTTCTCGCCTTTTCATGGTGCTAGTAGTGTGCATTTCTTTGCCTTTTACACGATGCTAATTGTAGCAGTCATTATTTTGTTGTTGTCGCTAGGCTGGCATTGGAGGACCCCTTATTGATTTTAAAGGGAGATTTATTGGCATGAACCTCTACGATGAGTATGAAGGAACTCCGTTCATACCACAGTCATGTGTTCGCAAGGTTTTGGAACATTTCGAGAAGAAAAGATATTTGTGGTGGTATATTCTTCCACTTACAAGTGCTGGGCGTATGACATGATTTACATGTACCTGGAAGAACTTTTATGGCCTAAATGGAAGTCTTTGTCATGTCTATTTATTAAGTATATATTCATTCTGCTGATCTGTTCCTTTTTTCTTTTTGTATGTGTTGGATAGATTTCCTGCTGAAACCGATGGTGATGGTTATAAGAACAGGTACATTTAAGTTTTATCTCATTACATACTGTACATTGTTTATAAGTGTCATGCATAAGGGTTTTATTTTAGGGAAAGAAAAGTGGGCTCATGTTCTGCTTCATCTCTAGCGTAACTTGATTATGACTGAAGTCTCTGTTTGTTGTTGCCAGATGGCCTGTGCCTATGCCATATTGGTGTCATCAGGATCCCAAGAAAGAGAAACAAGAAAGGAAAGAAAGGGTTGGCTTGCTCTTTAGGAAACAGTCATGGGCACCGCCTCGTAGGATTGAGGCATTGCCCACTTGTTAATTTGTCAACCGCTTGTAGCAATTGGTGGACCTAGCTTTTTTTTCTTACCCTAAACAGTGGCGAACCTTTTGTTTGTAGAAGCTTATTAAAAATTTGCAGAGAGCAAAATGAGTCTGAGATTAAGTTCATCTGGTGTATGGTGTAATGGCATCTCAACTTAACCTGGTAGCATGCATGAATGACAACCATCCTGGGATATTTCACTATATATATTTGTTACTTACTATTGTGTATATCCCATGCTTACTTTGTTGATTGATGAAAACAAATTTGGGTTCAAGAATCACGATTTGAGGCATCGCTGACTTGTTAATTTCTTACCCGCTTGTAGCAAGTGACAGACCTAGCTTTTTCTTCTTACTCTGAATAGTTGTGAACCTTTTTTGTAGAAGCTCATTAAAAATTTACAGAGAGCCAAATGAACCATAAACTGATTGAACAATTCAATCGGATGTTGCTGCTCTTTAGGGATATGAGTCTGAGACTTGAGTCCATCTGGTGTAAAGTGCTTGTTAATGCATTATTTCAATTATGGGAGAGGAATAAGAGGGAATCAGAGGAAGCCTGGAACTTTACTAGAACTAGAGTTGGGCATACTAGGCTGAAGAATTCACAGGCCCTAGATCTAAACCACGCTTTTAGGTACAGTACAGGTGGTCATTCTGATCCTCCAAGACCAAGAGTTCAGGTTCAGCAATTTATAGAGTGAAAGGTTCATTAGGGAGCGCTTGCTGGATCATCTAACAAAGCAGATTGAGCACAAAGACTTTAAACAGCTGTGAAATGGCAAGGGTATTAATTAACAACAAAGTACCGAATGGAGCTGTGAAATGGCAAGGGTATTAATTAATTAACAACAAAGTACCGAATGCAGCTGGTAGTTACAGATGTGCCAGTACATTCGAATGTACAGAATGACCCAGCAAGACATCCAAATGTCGCTTATAGTATCTTTTTAAGTCCATAAGTATTAAACTCAGCAGGTTAGAAATCAAACTAATAGCAATTCCAATTCCATGAAGCAGAGTCGAAAGCATCACTGCTTGGTGTTTTGCGATGCCTAGTAGGGAAGTGGCAAAACAATAAAAGGTAAAAACAATTGATCTGGAAGTAGGAGGTCGAATCCTTAGGATTATATTAGTTGTTTCACAAATCAAAGCTTCCCAACATTGTCAACGAGTAATTTGCATGATAGGATAAGATGAAGATATCAAAATGAACTTAACTTCAGTCCAGCAGGTCGCAGAAGCAGATAATATTTAATTAATTTCAGAGAACTATAATTTTGCGATTTGTCATGAACGTCAGCACATGTATATCTTTACTGATTGGAACGGTCAGTTGTAATTAACTACACAATCACACGCGACATCATTCTGAGCTGCGCTTGTGACAGTGTATATGGTGCATCCATTACATTTGGCATAGACCATTGCATTATACTATACATATAGGAGTACACAAAAACGTGCACAGCTCACATGGTGCTGATGCACATTCCACTTGGTTTTCAGCGACGACACACTGTATAAACATTTCAGTACGTCTCAACACCAGTAGATTTGCAGTCGACGTCGAACCACACCTCATTGACACGGCCAATGATGCGGAATGGGCTACTGTACTGTGCAACTGAGTAAGCGCTCTTGCTGGGGTAGTTTGTGGAGTTAGCCCAGGGCGACCGACTCAAGCTCACGGCAAGCTTCTCAGCTTCCTCAACCACGTTCTTGTCCCGTGCATAACCCGAGAAGCTCCTCACTGCAATGCAGTGGCTTGGCCATCTATCTGGATGCAGGTTCAGTTCTGGGAGAGGAACCGGAGGGGAAGCCTGGAACTTTGTTGGTAAGTAGAACCGGACAAAGTAGGCTGAGGAGTGCAGAGGCCCTGCACCTGGAACCACACTTGTAAGGACAGGGGTGGTCATTCTGATCCTGGAAGAGTTGAGGTTTGCGCCCATCAGGTACTGGAACAATCTGGCAGCCAGCAACAACATGGAAAAGGTTTTAGAGCTTGTAGGATCACATAAAGAAGATCAAGCAGTAAGGGAGTGAACTAAAACAAATGTGACATTTGCAAGTGGTTATATATGTGGTGCAATCCTATGTACAGAAAATGGTCTGGCAGAACATCAATATCTTATATCTTATGGACAGGAATATCACAAACTAAGCCTCAAGTATTTAGCCTCAGGTAATATCAAAACTAATAATAAAACTTCAGAATTCACGAGTTAGCAGAGTCATAGCATAACTGGTCAGAATTTCACAACACCTAGTTAGTAGGAAACTGCCAAATAACTACTCATGTCTGTAGGATGCCTTAGTATTATTAGATACTATTTCAAATATCAAAGGGTGCGTAGTAGAATCCTAAGCCAGGATAGTAACGTGAAGAGAGGCAGAGAAAGACCGAAGTTGACTTGGGTAGAGGGAAAAAAAAGAAGACTTGAAAGGATGAAATATACCGAAAGACTTAGCCTTAGATAGGAGTGTTTGGAAAACAGCTTATTCACGTGCCTGAACCTTGATTGCTTCTGCTAGATTTCAACTCTAGCCTACCCCAACTTGTTTGTGACTTAAAGGTTTTGTTGTTGTTGTTGTTATTGTTCAAATATCAAAGGGTCTTCATCAGTGAGTAATTTTTTTTTTGAAAGGTCGCCGGGGGGGATGAACTATCCCCACCTGAATTTTCATTCCACAGATGCCGGGCAAGCCGGAAGGTGGAAGGGCGTGGCGCCAATCCAGATACAATAAGTCTAGAGAAGTACAATGGGGGGAGGGAGAGATTACAACACCAACAACACCAACAACAACAGCAACACTTAACAGAAACAACAAGAAGAACCAACACGAGGACTCAAGGATAAGCCTAGACTCAAGCCGAAGGACGCCAACCAATCGCCGATTTGCGCCACCGCCAAACAACATACTCACCGGTTACGCCGTGACCATTGTGCCCTACACCACTCCTCGTAGCTACGCCGCTCCGCTGTCGCCCTCCATCTGAGGACCAACAGTGGAATGGGGACTAAGAGTGGTGACGGACACGCAAGCCCAAGATCACCGGACACGACGACCTCCCTTGAAGCTGATGGTGACACCTACAGCACATCCGGGCCCACGTACCACCATTCAACGCCGTCCACAGGGAGGAAACCTTGGAGGGGAATGGCGGCAGCGGTGGAAACACCACCCCGCATTAGATTTTCTGGAACCATCAAGGAGAGCGCCAACAGAGCAGAGATGCCGAGGAGGACACCCGTCGAAACATCGGCAACGACCGACGGCCAGAGCTAGTCTCACCCAAGAGGGGAACAAGGAGCCAGGAGAGATAAGCCTGAGCTAGCCCCTCCACGATGGTGCCTCCAAGAAGGACGCGACATCGTTGACGCCACCACCACCGGCTCTAGATAACTAGAGCTAGGTTTTCACCAGGAGCAGAGGGGCAAAGCTACAGCTATAGGGTGGGGGGGGTACATCGACGCCTCCAAGGAGGTAAGCGGCGCTCGAGGCGTCGCCGTCGATCGCATGACCAGGTCGTGCATGGCTTTCGCCTAAGCTCCTCAATCCCAGGAATGAACTGTAGCCCGTCGCCGCCATCTGCAGATGTAGTTAGCTCGGAATGGCTTTCGCGATAGCAAGAATTGAAACCTACAACGACGCCTCAAGGGAGGGATATGATGCCATTGCGCCATCGTCGCTGGCCTGGGGCAATAGCCAAGCAGGGTTTTCACCCAGTTTCCATATGCCTACGCAAAGCCACCCAGAGTGCAACGCGGCAAGCAGAACAGACACCTACCACGCAGCGCTCTGTGTCTCGGTCTTCCACCATGGGGAGGCAGGCCAAATGCATGGGTGATTCCGTCTGGCGTCGTGGAGGGGCACGCCGCGCCCATCAAGGGCGGCCACGCCAGGCAGCAGAAGCGCCTGCACGCGACCACAAGCCATCCCGGGTGGACAGTTTCCAAGCAGGTCGCCCACCTCCGCGCCCTTCTCCTGCAGATCCCCGACCTACAGGCAGCTCGGCCCCTACGCCAACGGCTTCGACGCCACCCACATCCTCCCAGGCTTTTTCGGGTGCAGCCACGCCAAGCAGGGGAGCTTCGACACCCGGGCAGCCGGCAGCATGGCGTTCGGCGGCGGGCCTGAGTCGCAGTTGGCCCAGACCGCATCCAGCTACTCTGGCTTCTTCACGGGCAGGAGTAGAGCGGCAGCACGTCGCCGGCGACAGGGAGTTTGGTGGACGGCCGTTGAGGCCACGATGTGGGTTTGCATCAAGCTCGCCAGCGCCTGCAGCCAGGACTCCCGAGCATGAACATCCGCCGGAGGAGACCGAAGCCATCTCCATGGGTGGTGCCCGTGCTTGTGCCCCGCCACCACCAGTTGCAGCTGGATCTAGACCAGTCCGACCCGCAGCACCCCCGTGCCGGCGCCGGCGAGCGCCACGCGCGCACAGGACTCGACGGTGGCAGAGATTTCGGGGTCTAGCGGGAAGAAACAGATCCAGCTGAGCCAGCCAAGCTAGCAGAGGGAGGGAGAGGAGCTAGTGGAGGTGATCGACGCCGAGCCCGCAGAGGTCGCAGATCCATGGTGGAAGACACCGGATGTAGCCCTCCACATCGCGGATCGACCCCCTGCCGGCCATCTCAGGCAGCCAAGATGCAGAGTAGCGGTTGGGGAAGAAGATAGGAGGTGCCAGGGGTGGGGGAGGAGCTGCGGGGGCAGCCTTTTTGAGCGCCCTCGCGGGCCGCCACCACTGCTCGCCGGGGAGCAGCGGCAGCGGCCGGAGAGCAGCTCGAGTGGGGTGGTCCGCGGCGGCGGCGAGCTTGTCGCCCCCAAGTCGCCTCAGAGGAGACGACGCAGGGGGGGGCGTTTGTGGCCTTCCTAACGATGGTATTTTGGTCCCCTCCAGTGCTTCCCAGTGAGTAATTTGCATAACAACAATGCGAAGAATCAAAATGATCATAATTTCAATATAGCAGGTTATGAAACGGATGGTTTAGTTTTCAGTAGCCCTGCAATTGATCAAGAACATTAATAGAAGAAAATACAGGTCTCCTTGTTCTTGAATAAGTACAGATTTATCTTTACCAGTTGGTTCACAGATTAGTTAGAGAGTTGTAGCTATGATAACCATGAAGAGTCTAGTTAATCCTACATGTTCTTCAGCCACAGCATTTCTTACAATCACGGATACCTGTTTGGTTTAAAAGAAGCTCGGATACTTTTCAACTGAAATGAACACGCTACTCTACTGAAGATGACATAGTACTTGCAAGTATCAACTCAAGTACATATCCACACAATTGCATTGCATCCTGTTGAGTGGTGAAAGCTCAACAACACACTACCAACCCTCTCTCTCGGTTTCCCCATCAAAATCCAATAGCAATCAATTCCACCCTTTCTTGCATTTCTATCCATTCCTATGCAAGAAATCGAAATCGACCTGACCGCGCCGCCCACAGGGGGAGGGGGCCAACCGATCGATCTGCTCTCGAGCCGAGCCGGCCGAGCGGAACAAGATCCTGGAAGGCGAGGGACGGTTACCTGTGGAAGCCGAGCTTGGTGGCGACGTGGAAGGAGGGGATGTCGGGGGTGGGGGCGGACATCCAGACGGTGTCGCGGTACAGCCGCACCTCGAAGTCGGACTCCGCGTGCACCGTCGTGTACTGCGGCGTCTCTCCGGCGCCGCGGGCGGCCGGCAGGAGCAGCGCAACGAGGACGAGGGGCAGCGACAGCGCCATGGGGATGGGATTCTGCTGCTTGGCCATGGTCGTCGCCTTCCACCCCCACCTTGGGCGGAATCAGATCGTCTGACGTCGGCGGAATCAGATCGTCTGACGTCGGGCTCCTCGACTGCACTCGGCAGTCGCTCGATCCGTGCCGTTCCCTGGCATCCAAGCGTCCAGCTCGTTCTGCTTTTATTTTTTTGAGCAAATCCAGCTCGTTCTGCTCGCACCAGGTGATACAAACACCAGTCCAGTAGCCCATCTAAACCCACGAGACCAGAACACCGCGTAAGAACACGCGGCGTTGGGCTGATGTCTTCCACGGCGAGCTGGCCGCGCCGCCGCCGCCGTTTCCTGCACAGCCGGTTTTTAATCTCTCGAGCTATGCGAGCGAAGACTGCACGTCAACGTCAAGTCATCAAGAGCATCGCAAGGTGCTGCAGCTTCTCCTGGCGTTGCTGCTATATGTCAGGGGCAACAACTGTGGCTTCTAACTGAGACGCCAAAACACAACACACACCTTGGCCAACCTTGGCCAATATGGTAATGAGTATCTGGAAGCAAGGTGGGAAGCGCCGGCGATGCCCCTAGTCCATAGGCAAGAAACATCGGCCATAGCGTTGCAGAAGGGAAGCAGAGCGGCGATTTGGGGGCGTGGTGGCCTAGGTGCGTGGAGAGGAGCGCCCGATCTGCAAGGAAGACAGAGAAGGCACCTCTCCTTCCTTCTCCAAATGAGCTACGATGACCTGTAGTGGCTCGTTAAACCCCGTGATATCTGACTTATTCACTTCTTTTTTCCAAATTGAAAGCAGTTGTTTTCTTTCACAACAATTTAGCGAACAATGTTTTCATCTAGTTTCCATTATTAAAATTCAAGGAAGCGAGCAGGACCCTTCACCGAAATGACACGAAACACTTTTGCAAACAAGACACGGTAATTATGGAACAATATGTACATCCAGGTCATTCACTTGGGCAATTCAAAGGATCACATTCTCAAATTTCTAGTCACAATATCACTTTACAATCTCACAATCATATCTAACAACTCTTTATAAAAGTTTCAGAGTTTCAGCTCTGCTATTTACATTGTTGGAACATCTGAACACCGAGCGACACACAAAAGCGAACACGCAGAACCACGGCTACCCTTCCCTTGGAATCCAGAAGCACATGGAGAAGGATGGAACGTGGGTGGTCATTTCATTTGCAAAGATTCTAAGCCGTACCCTTATACGCTGAATTAAGCCGCTACATCGTGGTACCTCGGTAGCGGGCGATCGGAGGCGAAGAACAAAACATGACCACGAAGGATAGAACTTAGCCATGAGCGGGCGCCCGGCGCGCACAGCAGACGACCCATCGGACTACGTCGAAGCGAGCACTCAAGCAACAAGTGGTGCCATGGCGCACGGATGGTCCTGTAGAGCCGGAGAGAGCGGCCAAGCCCATACACAAGTATGAAGTGAACCAGAGGCCAGGACTCGACGAGCAGTGGAGCGTGGGCTGTAGTTGGGCGGACCGAGGCCCGTGAGCGCATAAATTGGTGGCCAATGCTCGCAGACGTCCGATCCTCAGTTCCAACGGCACAGATAGTGTGACTGCAGAACGCAGTCGTTTCACGTGAAGTTAGACGATCTCGTTCCCCCCCTTGGGCACACCGGCAAGCAAAGCAAAAGTAGCAAACGGGTAGACCCGTAGAGTGTAAAATACACGCACAGACGGGAATATGCTATAGGTCCACGAAATAGAGAGAGGAGATTTTTTTCATGACAAATGGGATTTGGCACAGAAGACAGGCAGGGCGTGTATGATACCGCCATCATCAAACTTGGCTTTATATCATTATCAAATTAGGTACACATGCTCAAATGCCCTTTGGCTGATTTCTTCAAAAATTTAATCATTTTTAATTCCCATCAAATTTGCATTCCCGTTATATCCCTGCTGAAACCGATCCCTTATCCCTTTCGTCCATCTCTTCCTGGCATCGGTCACGCACTCACGCACGGGACCGAAGGCCGCTCGTTTGTCGCCGCCGCTGGCAGCCGATGCCAGCCCACCTCCGTGGTCGCCTGAAACCGGCTAGCTGCCCCGGCACCCCGGCCCATGCCAAGCACCTCAAGCCCTCGCCCGCCCACAACTAGCCGCCAGCGACGACCTTTGCTCTGCGGCGACCAAGACGTCTTCCCTTTGGCTCTCCGCTTTCTGCGGCGGCGAGTCGACGCGTCCACGCCCAGCGCCCGGCGACCTCGACTTCCAATGAGGGATGGGGGGGATGACTAGGCGGCATTGATGCGACCAAATTCGCTGTTTCCGATCCGATGACAATCTGAGCTTCCTCGGCTGGCTCACGGCTCCCTAGGGCTTGCGAGAACGAGGCGTGCGGGGGCCGCGATGATGAGGCGCGCATGCAGCCGGCGCGAATCTTCCGATCGATGGCGGTGGTGGGCGGCGTTAGGGTGCGCGGCGGCCGTGCCGAGTTGTGGTGGGCGAGCTGCCTTTCCGTGCCGTCGTCTCTGGTTCGTGCGTGAACGGGGAAGAAAGAAAGAAACGAAGGGATAAAGGGTAAAACAGGAATGCAAATTTAATGGGAATAAAAAAGTGATTAAATTTTGGAACAAATCAGCCAAAGGGCATTGCAACAGTAGTACCCAGTTTAATAATGGCATTACAGCGAATCCCTTTTGCGGGATGGCAAACGAGCGAAACCCAACTTTGATAATGGCAAAATTACAATTTTCTCACCTGGCTGCGCCCGTAGGCTGCAATACTCGTGTATGATGTCCTTGGCCTAGTCAGCAGCCCGGCTCACGCGGACCAAAATCGCCCCCCTCCGTCTGGCCCTAGGAAACGAACCCTACCTCCATTTTTTCAGGGCGCAGCTGCATGCAGCTCCTCGCAGGTGATTTGGGGGCGATTTCGGGCGGCGGCAGGTGGCTCGCGCGGGAACGCTGAAACCTCCGCGTGCTCCCACCTCCGGTGAAAGCTGCCGCCTTTATAAGTGGCCCCTCCGACATTGTGCTGCGTTCCTTCTTCTCCCTTCCTTCTCCACTCAATCCCATGAGAGACCGGCGGTGGTGGTGAGGTGTCATGTCTGGCGAGGCGACGTCCTTCCCCGGCAGGCTTCCTCTCCGCTCCCTGCCCCGGATCTGCTTACACGCGGCGGCGCACCCTCTTCCTTGCTGGGACTCCGGGGAGGCGGTCGTCTTCTTCCTTCGTCTTCCTCAGCTCTGGTGGTGCACCTGGTATTGGTGCCGGCCGGATCTGCTTCCTCTCCGTCCAGATCTATTTCTTCTTCGTCGCCTCGTCTGCTTCTTCTCCGTTTTGCGCTTCTCGTGTCCTCTGATGACCACTCCAAGGTGAAATCGACCCCCAATCCCCATATGTTTGTGAATTCGTTGATGCTAGGGTTTCGGTTTATTTGTTAAAGGTGTTGTTTTGGTCGCTTATCTGAGTAGTTGTTGTCGTTTGATTGGGTTCACTGTTGATGGATTTAGGGTTTGACATGAACTGTTCATTTGTTGTGGGTTAATTATGCTTTCATGATCTTTGTTTAGTTGTTACAGTCGATGATGATGTCCAATGCACTGGGAGGCATGTTCATACATGCAGTCCTGCCTACTAGGCTTTTGTTGTGCAGGCAATGCAACTGATAGACATAGCCATGTGATGACACAAATGAGATGGTGGATGAGCTGGCTCAATGTTTTACTATTTTTCTATAATCCATTTATTTGACCCATGCATATATGCGGTTTCATTCCTAAACTGCTGATGCTCAGTTGTTGTGATATTCATGCTGTTCTTCTCTGCTTCAGTTTTAGATTGTTAGTTAGAGACAGCTATGATTTCATAATGATTTTAGTATGGTGGGTGAGGGCTATTAGTTTGGAAAACAGTAATTGTTCGGTGACAGTTCTATTTTGCTTGTAATACAATTCCATCTACACCTCAGATGCAGTTGTGGTCTATTCATTTGAGTCTGCTACTTGCTTTCTGGTGCATGTGTATCGGCCAAGCCCATACTGGCCGAGAATTAAACAGGATCTCCAATTAGTAGTTGGAGTTAGTTGGTGGTGGGCCTGCTGCTGTGATATCAAACAAAAACCCAACTGGGTCTAGTAAGTTTGGTACAGGCACCCAAACAAGTGGTCTTGCACCACTTCAGATAGGCCCTGTCTGGCCTGGGAGAGGCCTGCGGGCCGAGCCAGCCACAGCCCTGATATCAAAGACGCCCGCGGTGTATGAAGGCGAGTTTGAAAAGAGTTTTTGGTTAGCAATTGACAAAATGCACATAAACTCTACCACCGAACACGTAAAAACGAATCAGTCTTATATTCCATTATCTAGAAAAACAGCAACAACAAATCCTCAACTTTAAATTCTTGAGCATAGTCATTCAAACTTTAGAAACAAAGATGATACATTGAGCACGTCTAAGACAGTTTTACAATTGGAACACCTTACATATTAATATTTGGCTCATGACAACTAAAATGTACTACTTGTTATCTTTACCTTTCCACGACTAAAATGATTTCTCAGAGAATTATCCGCTTTGTTTAGAAAAAAACTTTTCCCCCAACAAATATAAATACACAGACATTCTTAACACTATTTTAACATTGAACTACTTAATAGTATGTTGATTTAGATCTTTGTCTTCCTGAAATGTTTTCGTTTGTAAGGTACTGGCACCTGGCACTTCGATCATTAGTGAGACGTGTGTCTATTTATCTGTTTACATTTGAATCAAGCCTAAATAAGAATATTACTACTCTACAGCATCAAACAATTCGATCTTACCAATTGAAATAAAAACATGAAGAACCATATATACCAAGTACTAACAAACCCTAACTCACTTTAAATTGTTTCCATCTTACAACTAAAATATAACTCAACATCCCACGTAAAAACCTGTCGGTGCAGAAAGTGACCAACATATAAATATACTGGTTCAGGCAACGTGCCCTACGTCCAGTTTGAGTCGGTCGGTGACTTTATTCCTGAGCCCAGGTGCTCGAAGTTTGCAGTGG